AATTGTTTGAGTTAATTGAAGAATTTCAGTTGGTAGTCCCCACTGATTAATTTACTTTAAATACTATTATTATTTTATTTATTTTTATTTATTTTATTTTATTTTATACTTTGTTCCAGCCTGTGCATTTAATTGTATTTTTCAAAAGCAGGAGTTATGATATTTCTTCTTGTATTGAAATATTTGTTATTGACTTGTTATTTGAGATTGTTATTGTTTTCTTATATATTCAATAAAAAAAATAAATAAATAAAAAATAAAAATAAAAAAAACAGGCAGGGCCACGGGCAGCTACGCTCTGCTCCTTCTATTCATTCGGCTAGAATGGTTCAATTCCATTTCCAGAGCGAGATCATCTGTGGTAGTATCTTCCAGGCATGTGAGTAAAACTAGCAGCAGTTCAGCAGACAGGATGAATGAATGAATTTTTCAGATTAGAACGATGTGGTAAAGAACTTGTATCCACAGAAAAGCAGATAGTGCAAAGAATCCCACACAGAGAACAGCGTCGTTGACAAGTCTAAAGAAAAAATACAAATAAAAGTGTCTCACACTGGAGTGTCATTTCGCCTGTTGAACGATAAGCTATAAATGAATACCTGTAGCTTGGACGATAAAGTCCGCCCACTTTATAAATTCTTGAATGTAAATATAAATCCATTAAAGAGACCTCTCATTCAGAATGCACGTGTGTAAGCAGCACATTTTAAAGAAAAACTGACTGCAAACGGAACAACTGGGCTTCTCATCCTTCCAACTATTCACACTTTATTTTTTTGACAAAAAGTTATTTTCTTGTTATTAGATTCCATGCTCTCATGTTTCCTTTATTCTCCTATTTGGACGCAAATACAAGTCTCTACTATGGTGTTGTTGTTTTTTTTTTAGTGGATCCCAAAACTTTGTTCCGTATGATGAACTGTATCAGGTCACACACCTTTATTTTTATTGCTATTGTGTTCAGTCTGTTCATAATATCCAGTTATGAGACCATAACGGGCTGCTGCTGAGCTGGTTTTACTGCCCCATATGTAAAAAGGGGGTAAAATGTATTTACTTAGGCGCATTGCAGCTAATAGAATCTGAATCACATACCTGTTGATGCGGAA